GCGTTTTGTTTTGTTCTCTCTCCGCATTCGTCACTAATCACGCAATGCTGACGTGCTGCGTCTTCCGAAGGAAATGCTTCAGTGCATGACAGTCAGCGGAAGTGAGAGAAAAGTGTTTATTACATTTGAAATATGGATATTTTTCTTACAAAAACACATGGATTCGCTACAGGGGGACTTTATTCACCCCCCAGAGCCGTCTGCGGCACATTTTATTATGGATGCGCACGCTTTATTTGACGACTTGTGGACTGTTCAACTGCAACACCCGCTGACTGCAATGATAGAGCTTGGAATAGCCAGGACAATTTTTAAAAGGGGTGGTTCATTGCGATTTAACTTTTTAACATTAGTTAGTGTGTAATGTTGCTGTTTGAGCATAAACAATATCTGCAAAGTTACGAAGCTGAAAGTTCAATGCAAACGGAGATATCGTCTTTTAAAATTCTGGCAGTTTAATGCCTACAAAAATGGCCGGTAGGGACTACAACAAGTTACTTCCCGGGTTCGTGACATCACAAACCCAGATAAACCCCACCCTCCGGAAAAGGCAGCAAAGGGGGCGAGGCCATGCTGCGCTGCTTTAGAGAAGAGGAAGAGAAAACAAGAGGTGCACATAAAAATCTATTCATATATGAATCACTATTCTGTCTTCTAACGATTCTAATGGATTCACAAGTTTCAAAATCAATGTTCTAAAGCAGCGGTTCTTAATACCGTTTCTCGCATCCCCCTGCTCTGCACACGCTCTGCATCTCTCTCTCTCTCTCTCATTCAGCTCACTCAGTTCCAACAATGAACTGTTCCAATTATACAATAATTTTCACATAGCTATATAAGAAGCATTAAACATGGACGCGCATGCGGTTGCTGTACTGTATTAAAGCTTTAATCAGGATAAAAATGTATATTAAAAGCTAACATAAGCAGTAGCATTTACAAATAACAGCGTATCTAAAAGTATGAGACAACAACAAACAAAAAACATAGGCCTACCATTAAAAGCCGTGCTTGCAAAGGTTCTGCACGATCCTCTTCAATAATATCCTCTGCTTCTCAATCGGGCTCAAACTGATAAGCAATATTAACAATGC